GGAGGCTTGGGTGTGTGTGTGTCTGTGTCAGGCTGCCCCTCGAACAATTCACTGCCGTATCGATATTCAAATTAGCGACGACATGCGCGTTGCGTCCAAGCCTGTTCTGAGTTCGTCAAATCGAGAATATTGACTAAAAATATTCAAAAGATCACGAAAATATTTATTTCGATTAGGTAAAAGAATACAAATGAAAAATTTCCTGCCATAACTTGAATTGAGGGTGTAAAAAGTGACATAAGAGCGTGCTGTAAGAAAATATTGCAGTTGGATTTGGAATGAGACAATCTGCTGATCCCTACAGTATTATTAAAAAATTATATGACAATTAATGACAGTATTATGATGATAAAATACGCCTTCAATAACTTTCGTCTTTGAATGAAAAGTAGGTTTTGAGTGGCAGAGGTCCTAAAAGAACGCCTTCTATAATGTGGAAAAAAGACTCGAAGAAAGCTGTGATAGAAAATCTAACAAAATGTTGTAGAAGGAAAAATATGGAAGATTGAGTTGATAACAGAAAATCCAGCAAAAAGTAAGGAAATTAAGATGCAAAAGAAAATCCAACTTTCGAAAAAATAATGCTAGAAATCAAATGTTACTAAAGGATATGATAATTGGGCTTTTCTAATATTTTGCGAAAAATTTAGAATTATTGTAATTAATTGTACTTCAGCTCGTGGAAAGAAGATGAAAGCTAACAGAGCTAGCAAATTCAATCAATCCAAACCGGAAGGGGGTACCTAATCCCAAAAAACGCCGTCTGAACCCTTTTTCTGTTTCGACAGAACAGAATCAAGTGAAAAAAGCAGACAATGAGAGAGATTCAAAGGCGGAAAGACGCGAAAATACCTTCTAGACCTTCCGAGTTATTAACCACCCAGGCGTTTGGGACAACTGTGGGATTCTCTCAGTAAATCTTAAGAAAAGGGAGGTAAGCGGATCCGGTGAAAAATTACTGAACAGCAAACATCAAAAATTTATTTATTCATTTATTTTGTACGCCAGGAGGCGTGCTTCAATACATAGTAAGGTGGAAAACAACCGGGGAGTAAACTTTGCAAAATATCGAGCACTTTACGGTTCATCCAAAGGGATCTTAGATCTGAAGATTTTCCTAATAATGAAGCACGGTCTCAAAGCAATTCAGGACCCTTATTGACTGCAAAGGTGTAAGATTTGCGTGTCAAATTAGGTGTGGTACAATTGAAATTCCAGTGCTCTGCAAACCTTGCTGCACAGAGGAGAACCCCTACTGGAGAGGACAACGTCAACAAAACACCAATAAAGATGGAATTCCCCGAAGAGCGAGGCGTTGAGCAGCAATAGAGCGCCCCTTCCCGTGGGGAGACTAACAGGGGGGGGGGGGTAGCTCCGTCTACGTCTGCAAGCGGCTCGGCTCGAGCTGCTCGTCTGTGAGAGTGTCGAGCCGAGCCGGCCAGCGAAGCCGCCGCGGCTGCCCGGCTGGCCGCCCCTATATATGTAGCGGCTAGCCGAGCTAAGCCATATGACTGTGAGTGAGCGGGTGTGTGTGTATGTGTGTGTGGAAATCAATGCCGAACCTCGCGCGGACAACTCTCACTCCGCTTCATCCCTCATTTTTCTCTAATGGCTTTATTCAACACGCAAGCAAAGGCGTCGTCGGCGTCGGCTGCGCGCTGGCACGGATTCGCGCGCATGCACGCGCGAGGAACAGCAGGCGCCGCGCGGAAAGCGCCAGTCACTCTGCGTCGGAATAACGTGAACTGATCAGTACAAGTTACTCTACCATAAACATTCTCACCACTCAAATAGGCGTCCGTGAGAAAACGAGGTTTGCGTGCAATTAGAGGACGCATTTTGCGGAAAAATTGCAGAGGACGACATAAAATGCACAAATAGGGGAATACGATCGAATTGATAGTCTTCCACAGCATATACTTTTATGGGAAAAGATGCAAGCTACAATTGCATGTTTCTCGACTAATCAACCATACAGCCATCAATTATTGTTACAGTAGGTCGTCAAAATCAATACATCGATTTTTCATGAGTTGATGTTATTATTAGAAATACAATTCGAATAGTTATAGTATTACTATCAATAAGCAAGATGTAAATAAATAAGTAATTAAACAAATAAATAATAAAAATAATATAATCAAACTGAATAAAATAAGTAAATGCATACATGAACTTAACAGATGGTCAACTCTGAATATTTCGGCGTGAGAAAAATGCTTGAAAATCTTCATTTTTGGACTTTTTCTTCTGGTATAAGAAACTTGATACTTAAGATTCTAGTGAAATAAAAAAGGGTCTTTTCCAGAATTACGAATTTATTGATTTCGAGAAAGCCGTAGCCTATAAAGTATTCTGTCCAACTGCGGTACCAGAGAACCACTAGAGGAAAGGATAAACCTGGTTCTGACCAACTTCTCGTGTTCCAACACTCTAAAGAATGTTCCGGCTACAAAAGTAAGCTAAAAATTTCCCTTTGGGACCTCAAAGATAACATTCGTTCGTATGGGGAACGACTAAGATACGTAGAAATCAACAAGGACATGAAAGAGAGGTCTTGTAGGATAAAACTTCCAGAAAGTTTTCGAGAGAGAAGCGATGAAAAAGTTCGAAGAAACACTTGCAAGTGTAAGAACGAGGGGATTCAATAGAAATGCATGATTCAGATATGAAATTACATGACATTCCAGAGGTTTACACAGTTCGACGAGAGAAGAAACACAAGCGCATGATATGTACTTATCGCTTTTTTCTGCGTTTCGTTTTGAAGTGGTCAGTTGGGGGGGGGGGGAGATTTTGAAGGTCAGGGGAAAGCTGATAGGTTGTGGGCCAAAGAGAAAGTGTGAGAATTTGAGAGAATGAAGAAGTTTAAGCGGATCAAAAGGGCCTCAAACGAAAATTTGCTCTCCGCTGTAATGTTGAATGCGCTCTAATCGTAGACATTGTCCATTCGTCGTCGTTTGTCGACGCATTCGAGCCCATAGGCCCATATTACAATGGACTCAACAATCATTGCTAAACTGGCATATGGGCTCAGCGCGCAGCTGAAAGCTTTCGCAGCTTCGTCTGCACGAGAAGACAAATGAGCTGCTGTCAGCATTCGCATGTCCGAACATCGAGCTTTCTCTCATGAACAACTGCAATTATACCTTCCCCCCCCCCCCCCCCCCCACAATTTTTAATTTTTAGATCAGGTGAAGGCGGAATGAGGGTGGATAGCGTGCTGAAGTGTCGAAATGAACTACCACTCTCTCGCTGAATGCAAATAAAATGCCAGTTCGCCCCGGCGCCATCGTCGATGGCATCGACAGCTTGGCGCGCAAACGCGCGCAAGTGCAGCTTTGCACTGATTGAGCTTTTGTCTAAACTTTGATTTTGGCATTTCGAGGACATTGCGAACCGGTAGGGAAGTTCAGTTTCTGTACAAAAGGTCAATCGCAACAAATAGTGGCGATCTGGGCAGTTGGCAGCAGCTAGTAAATCAATTGACTGAAATGTGGCAGCTGAACCACTGATGCTTTGTAGGAAAGCATAGCCTCAAAAAAATGGAGTAACTTGAATTTTCAACAATAATTAGTGACAGATCCATATCGTATGAAAAACAAAAAATCTTTTCTAATAACCATTACAGTTTTCAAAAATGTTACTGTTATCAACAATATATTTTATTTCCCCTAATGCCTATCAATACTATTATTATCAAATTAATTTGTGATTAACAACTCAAACGGAGTGTAGCTTTGGAGTATGGCTGCAGGAATTGCAATCTGCTAATTCTCTTTTCAGAGCTATTGAGCGTGCAAAGGATAGAGTAGAGATTATTTATTTAGTCTCATTTAGTAGCATTACCTTTGTCCCACACAAAAGATTCCTTCGACTCAAGAAGTTTATCATATGCAATCATCATAGTTTATCACAACCTGTCATTTTTGCACTTGTTTTGCATTGGACGAAGCGGAAAGGCCTGGACAAAATTTCGAAAAACAGTGAAATTTGCGTCGAATTGGCGAGTTTCAAGACTTTCGTAAGTAGATATATGTAAAAATTATAGTACTAGCCAAGATCGAAAATTTTGCGAACTACTTAAATGGATTATGAACAAAGAGAAGGAAAAATAACCTTGAAATCAAAAATTTCCATTTTCTTGAGTCAAAAATTATTGGTGATGTTCAATGAGTCAAAAATCATCAAGGTATTCCAATAAATTTTCTGAGTGAACTTGTGAGTAAGTGAAGAGCTTGAAAATGCGAGTAAACGTAAAACTTTCATGGAAATTTATGAGGAAACTGAATCACGACGCTACCTAATTGTGTAATAAAAGACTAAATGAATTTCGAGAAATCATGTAAGGAACAAAAATCGAGGAATGTTTCAAATTTGGAAGCCAAATATGAGACCAAAGGAAAATACTTTGAGGAAATATACATTTGTGCTATCTATAGACTGCTTCATTTCATGCTTCACTGGCAAGGAGGTAAGGAGAAAGTTGTGGGAAAACTTAGTACCCAGAAATTTTAACTTTTCTACCCTACAACTTCCATATGATAGAGAAAAATAAAAAATTTATTTATTTTGCACTCAGAGTTGCATCAGTCAAAAAAACATACAAAAATAATATAGCAAATGTCCATGAATTTCCGCAAATGGCGCTCTGAAAAAATTATCTTGAGGTGGTCAAGTATTTTTGATCTTTCCCATAAGAATCAAGAAAAGCAAGACATGGTTTATGGGGGGCCGTATTCGAACTTGTAACTCAGACAAACGAAACAACACCTTTCCCCTTGGCTGAAAATTTTTTTAAAAGCTTTTAAAACCCGAAATTTTTTATTTGTACAATCGTAACCATATAAATTTTTTGACCGAATATACGAGGGTCCTCCCACGCTTCCGCCAATTTTTGCGTAAATGTTTACACCAGCTTTACGATTTTTGTTGTCAGGTGAGTTTGAGTATTTGGTTTTTCCCCGTTCTCCCACGCCCCGCTAGAAAAAAATGCTTACGTCTTTGGCGGGGATTCACTACAGCGGTGCCATGTGAGATGCGCGCTGTTTGCGGGGTGAGAAGAGACACGGGGACGGAACGGGGGGGGGGATAATTGCTGAATGGATTCATTCTGAATATGCCGCGCGTCGCCGCGCCCGCGCCCGCACACCACACACATACGCACACGCGCACGCATACACACATAATAAACATGTAAAAACGAGATTTTACGTAAGTCTCGGACGAACTCTATCAACACGCACGTAAACAGCCACCTACACCCAATACCGCGCACGTTGATGAATGTGATATGGAAAAAGTTATGTGGAAAAACAGCGGAAAACATGTGCCGGGGCGATGAGGCGAAAAACTTTATTCACAAGTCCATTTGTGACATCAGAATTTATGTGAATTGTTCGTGTTTGCCGAAGGACTTTCTGACGCCTACAGAAAACCGAGGAAAATGTAAGAAATCAAATTACAGAAAATCAAGTTTCCCACTTCTAACATTTATCCTGGCATATTTGTCACTCTCAGAGCTTTCACTCTCAAGATGAAAGAATTGAGGAAAGATGAGAAGAGGATAAAGACAGTACGGCAGAAGAATCATTATTCAAAGTAGTTCTAAGATTCTCATCTCAACCATATCTCCAACTAAAAAGTAGCTGAAAAGGAAGGGAAGGAGTGAAAAGGAGGAAAGCAGTATTGAACCATTGTCAAGAATATGACTGAAAGCTACATAATTTTAGATTCTTTTTCTAGCGCAGAAATCCGCTCAAAAGTCGTTCTAAATCTTCTTAATCCATGTCCTTTTCGCCTTCCCATCGAAATGGAACAAAGGGCAAAAGGAGCTTCTAATAGAACTGAATGAATAAAAGGTAATGAATAAAAGGTGTAGATTTGTGAAGAGTAATTTATCACTCGAAAAGGAAAACTCTCCACTGTCATCGAAAAGTTATTTTACGTTATTTTCGTGAAACTCGATATGGAGAGGTCTTCATTCGATGTTGAGAAAAACGCACAAAAATTTGTTTTATATCCATCAAAAAAGGCTTTTACATCTTTGTAACAAAGATCTTGTTGAAGAAATGTCTATAAAACATAATTTTAATAGATGTGTCTGTGAAAATTATATTTTTCTGTGCAATTTTTCGACGCACCACTAATTGTGTGCTATATATCTTTTAAGACTCTGCATAACTGCCTAAAGGGCCGGGTAGACTTCACGCAAATTCAGTCGCGACGCGATCTGGCAATCCACCAGCTTTCAGATCCAACAATAGTAAACTGCACAAGCATAGTGTGTATAGCTTACGTGGATTGATAAATTCTCTATGTACATTTAAAACATGCTTACAGTTAGTTATGGATAGTTGGATTGTTGCCAAATCGCGTCGCGACAGAAATCGCGTGAACTATGCCCAGCCTTTAACGCGATGTTAAGTCATAACACAAGGGGAATCTCCCCGAGTGAAAATCACCTCTTTTAAACTTGATGATGTTGGTTTAGAGTCGCCTCTGTGTGAAAACATGAAAACTCTCTTATATATTTATTTCCGTATAGTCATTTTTGCTTTTATGAAGAATTTTTTTGTTTTCTGCCTGGAAATCAGTGAGCTTATTAAGGGGTGCAAAAACAAAAATAATGCAAACTCATTTGAAAAAGTTCTTCTAAACTTTATGAAATAATATTTTTGGAGCTCAGTGGATGCAGTACATTATATTGACCTGGTACAATTTTTTTACCCCATCGATTTAAGTGGCTTGGCGGCTGGAAGGCGGGGCTTTGTGACCTACTTAAGCCTGAGTAATGATCAGAGAGCACGCGCGCTGGAGAGACGCAAACTGCGTTGCGGGCGCGAGCGGCCTTAATTAGGTCACAAAGCCCCGCCTTCCAGAAGCCAAGTTGAATCAAACACAATAACCTGTTCATAAACACAGAGATTACAATACTACAACTCTCTGTTTTTGGGTTACTATATAGCACCAGCGGAAAAGATCGAATTAACACAAATATTGTTTTTTTTTTGAACTATACAAATACATGCAGCTGAACAACCAAAAGCTTGGAGGATGGTCGTTGTTCTATAGCGCGAGCGTTTGTTCACCAGTAGGCTGCAAAACTGCACTTTTGAGGAATCGGAGGATAAAGCAATGGTCATGCCAATTTAGCACAATGGGAGAAAGAGAGGGAGGGGGGGGGGAGGGTCAGACAGAGTGCTGGGAAAGAAGGGGGATGCAACCGAAAGTTTATAGGAGTCGCGAATTGCAAATGAGTTTCTCATTGAGAAACTGGTTGAGACTACGACTGAGACAATTCGCAGCTCTATGTGGTCAAAGAAAGAAAGAGGTTAACCCCGCCCATGCCACGCCCCTTTTCGAAAAACCACTATTCATCAAAAAACGTGTTCAGTGTGCAGATGTCGATGTATGAATGAAACTAGTAGCCTCATTTCGCTTCTTCCAGGAAAATAGCAGAGAGTCAGGAATTTTACGCTCGAGTTTGCAGAGAGTGCGTTGACCTTGAGCAAAGGAAAAATCTCAGTAAGCAAAGTTCCAAATCCAAGTATCAATTAAAGTAGAAAATAGAAAATTGGTAAAACAGACAGCTCAATACATTTATGCGCTTTCACCCGTTTTCCATAATTTTTACAAAACATTTCTAATTTTTTGAGATTTGATTTTCATTTCGAATTTTTTTTAAAATTTAAACTTGATTTATTCTGATACTTTCATAAAAGAGCTTGCCTGAGTCCCCAGTAATTTCCTGTTCCACATATCTTATTTTTCACTTACAAATATTTTAGAAAGTAAAATTCCAAATAATAATGGTACGAATAAAATAGGAATAGGAGCGTGAGACTTTCAAGATTCGTATACCAATAATAATATAAAGCTATTTCTTCCAATATATCCTAAATAAGAAATAAATTCGGAAAAATTCGAAAAATGCGAAAAAAGTGTTCATATCGGTACAAAAAACTGCGAGACACTAGTGAAGTTTTTTTTGGATAAGCCTAGAAGAAGAGGGAAGGTAGAAAAACAGAGACGAGGGGGAGGAAGAGGATCAGCTGAACTTCATCGCACACATGCTCTAATCTCGTTTATGCAATGAAGTGCATACGTTGCCATATCCGATTACGTGCACGTGCTCTCTAACGCGAGTTTTTGCGCTGAAAGCCGTGCGCATGGGGTGTTTTCCACCTCTTCCCACAGATAAAAAGGTTTCGCATCGGGAAGATGAGGCACTGGGATTGGAGACGCGAAGTGTTCCAAGGCTAGACGATCGTTTTTGGCTGTGGCATAGATGATTCGCGCAATTAGAAGCGACGGCGCCGCTGGACGGACGGAAGAAGTCTGTCCGGCGGCGGTAGCGGCGCCGCATGTCATGGAATCTGCGAGCATTTGTCATGTGCCATGCGCTAGAGCAACATAGAAAATGCAACATATATCATAACAAACACAGGCCATGTGAGTCACATCTGCCACCGCTTTGGGGCGCGAAATTCTCATGACAAACGCGATGAGCCGATGCTTCGCGGCCGGGGCTGCAGTGGAAGGTGTATGAATCTACGCATCTCCCTTCTCGTGTGGGGAGATCGAGATAAAAGGAGAGATGAGAGTGGACAGAAGAGACATCAGAGGCAGAGCGCCACACACACAGCGCCGTGAGGCTCTGCAAAAATCGATGCCCCAGCCGAGGAGTGGAGCGAGAATAAACGGAGGGGGGGGGGGGAGTAAAACTGAGAACTGAGTGAGGAGAAAGCGCGAGAGCTCCTGCTACTGCTACGGCTGCGCTCTAACGGCATGGCTCGCACGTGTGCCGGAGAGTGAGAAGAGTGTCGAAGTGTCAGACCGAGAATGCTTTGCCCCCCTCCCCCCCCCCCCCTCATGTCGGCAGTTTAAGCGCAATCTTGTCCAGGTGACATGCCACATTGTCCGAGCTGTCATGACGATTTGGACGAGTCCCATCGTTAAAGGCCATCTGGATCTGAGAGCTTCAAATTTTTGAGAGGCTAATGTCCTTTGGGTAAACTTGAAATGATTTCCAATACTTGACAGTGTTCCTTTTTTTCTGAGCTAGAGCGTACAAGAGAAGATAAAGGGTAAAAATATTCAACATTTCATGCTTGAAATAGTCCAATAACCTTTTAATCCTTCCTCATTGTCTTTACTTAGCAAAAGAAAAATTTCAGATTGAAAATGCAAAACAAATTTCTCAAATTTCCAACATAGAATTTTCAAAAACTCCTTGACAACCAATACAGCTTCAATAGAAATTGTTGCGAGAGACACACTTCTGAAAATTGGATCTGTGGAGAAAATAGACAGCGATAGTTGAATGAAAAATAGGCGGGGGGGGGTGAGGGGAAGGAAAAAACACACCATATGGCTACATCCTCTAGAGATGAAGGGAAGTCATTATCTCACTTCTGTGCTGTTTTCTGAAAAATCTCTGACAAAGTGTCCCTTGAAGAAAAAACAACATTACCCAAAAATAAATATGAGAGATATTTTTTACACGCAAAGAGCAGGAGCTACTCCGATTGCAGAAGTCAGCTAGTAAAACGCTATAAGAATAGCAGAATCTCACCAATGTGTACTCAAAAGAAAATGTGAATTGGGCAGAACTTCAAGATGGAAACTGATTTATTTGGTTTTTCAAATGAATTTACTATCGAGGTCATACTCTGTGCAGTTCTGAACAGAACATCTAGAAAAAAAAGAAACGTTCTAGACAGTATTCGACGTTTTAGACGTCCACGAGTCGTCTTCTTAGTCGTAGCCTCCAAATTCTTTTTCAATTACCCATCAGCCAGAAAATTCAATCAATTAGGGTTGTAACCAGTGTTATTATTACTAAAGATAGAATTCATAAAAAATTAGTTCCTGTTCTAGTTGTGTAAAACAACGAGTGTTACAAAGTGTATATCGTCGCATTCAGACAACATATTCTGCTACTGCAGGCGAATTAAAAAAGAGAGAAGAGAGATTTCTCGAAATGATAGATGGTTGTGTATCTGCACTCGTTGCAACAAAAGAAGGTGATTCATCATTTTACAAAACTGTTAGGTGTGGTAGTTACATGCACAAAATGAAATTTTGGGAGAATTTGGTGCGAAACTTCCCTCTCACTGAGTTTTCGCCTCCTGCTAAAATCTGTTACTAATATCTCAGGCAGTTCACCGGAACTCTGCAGGACAAGCAAAATTTGCAGGGGTTCCGCAGGATTTTGTTTACTATTGCAAAAGTGAAAACGTTAAAACGGGAGCTTCCGCAGGACTTTTACAAAGCGTTGCGAAACTTCTGCAAAATTCCGGCGGTTCCGCAGCACTTTGGCACGCCAGTACTTCCACAGGGTCTTGAGTGTGCTGTCTTGTATGATGTTTCTCGCCAACAACTAGAGCGCATTATCAAACATGTCAGCCGTAGTAGAGAGGATAGTAGGTGAATCTCACAGTCAAAAGAGTAATGTTCAAATCTCGCCTACAGTCGAGTAGATTTCCTGCTTAATATAGTGTCATTGCAGACGCGACAACGCTGGGGCGTCAATAAATTCCTTGCGAGTTCCTGAGCTAGTGTTTTCATAGTTGATTCGTTGCTGATAAAGAGGAAAAGGGTAAGTTAAAGAGTAGTTTCTGTTTTCTGAAAAATTCTATCATCGCATATTCACAGATATCCACGTGGAAGCATTTCGCGTCAGCTTCTTGTCTATTTCCTTTTTGTCATTTCCTTTTCTTCTGTCGCCTCTTCTTTCAAACCTCCTCCTTCTTGTGAGGCGTTTCTATGGACGCTATTTGGCTTTCTTGTAGCAACTTCGGCTTTCATCCATAAAAAATAGCATTTTAATCAAGTACTTCGTGTGATAAGGACAATAAGTCAATCGTAAAAACCCACTAGCGTTCAAAAAAGTACCTCACAAGAAGAAAGAGACATGAAGTGACAAAAAAATAGACAAGAAGCTGACGCGAACTGCTTCCACGTGGATATCTGTGATTATGCGATGATAAAACTTCTCAGAAAACAGGAACTACTCTTTAACTTACCCTTTTCTTCTTTATCAGCAACGAATCACCTAAAAAGCATAGAATAAGCAAAGAAAACACTGGAAAACACTAGCTCGGGAACTCGTCAGGCAATTATTGACGCCCCAGCGTTGTCGCGTCTGCAGGGACACTATATTAAGCAGGAAATCTACTCGACTGTAGGTGTTCTCTTTTGCTGTTGTGGTTCGCATTCTTCGGTACTTCCGCAGGACATCATTTCGGAACTTCCGCAGCACATTTACGAAAATTCCGCAGGTGATCCGGCGGAACTTTCCAATAGTTCTGCGGAAGTTCCGGTCAGTTGTGTGAGTTTGGGTGACACTTTCTGAAGTTTTATTGCAAGTGCAATAAAATGCTTTACAATCTGCAAGTATTTCGCGGCAAGTATGGGAGAAATATTCTAACAAGAAGATCTCCAATTTTTTTTTTCAGAAAATCCTATTCTGCGGACCATAACTTGTTTCACATTGTGGTAAATTATCATAAGCTCTGCTCATTGTGTAAATGATGGTCGGCCGAGCAGCAGTACTGAGCTCTTGGCCTTTTTCCTAGATAGAAAAATTTCAAAAATATCAATATATATACAGGGTGTCCCAAAAAAATGTTAACACTGTTTGATCATTAATAACTTCCTTGCTTTCAAGTCTTTCGCCGAGCTTCAGGTACCAATTTGTAGAGCGAGAATAAACTTAGATTTACAGTATTGAGAGAATCATCTAACGCTCCTCGTTACTGTAGAATTACGGCAGGAAATTTGGCAAGAATTTTAGGCCATTAAAGCCCATTTTCTGCTTCGAAACAGAGCCAAACAAGCCAAAATCTCTTGTACTATGGTAATGAAAGCTGCTGATTTCGGATATAAAATTTTCACTTCATTATGATACTTCTTTTCAAAGTTATCCTAGGTAAAGTGTAATAACTGACTTCCCAACATGTGTCAAAAATGTGATTACACCGTCAAAAAAGCTGAAAACACTCGTAAAAAGTTGTGTAGTAAAAATCGGCGGGCGCAAAAACCCCAGTACACGATTTTTCAGATTTTTTGAAAGAAATTTTGTCAGAGGGCATATTTCACGACGGTTCCGCATGCTGGAATTTCCTACCGTAATTCTACAGTAACGAGGAGCGTTAGATGATTCACTCGATACTGTAAATCTAAGTTTATCCTTGCTCTACAGAATGGTACCTAAAGCTCGGCGAAAGACTTGAAAGCAAGGGAGTTATTAACGACAAAACAGTGTTAACATTTTTTGGGACACCCTGTATATCGCAATCTTCAAAAAAAATTGCACATTTTCCAAACTTTTTTTGCTGCAAAAAACTAAGGAAATTTTTTCGAATTTTTATCATGGAATGCACTAGGCCCATTCTTGCTACGGAGCAATTTAGTAAAACGAAAACATTGCGTTTATGAATTTTAGGCAACTTATAACTACAATAAGACATGTCATTTGTATGCTAATAGTTTTCAGTCCGAATATTTTCAAAAGTATTATATCATTGAGCATATATATCACATATTCTCAGTACATGCTTTGCTTTTCCTTGTGGATTAGGTAATGGAGCAAACGAAGTGAAAAATTTTTCTATTTTTTTCGTTGTCTTTCTAAGACACGGAAGCGCAGACTGAGAAGAACTCTGAAAAACGAGAGCTCACATAGAAATCAAGAAGAAAAGGGCTTTCAGATGATACACGAGTACTCGCGGAAAATATGGGTTTCAAATTCAACCCCTTTTCTCATACCCCATCTGAACCTAATTTTGGAGAAGACGACCATTTTTAGAACTGAGCTTAAATCGTTTCTTTTCTTCTAGTTTTTTACGAATAGTTTACTTCTCACAGTGCTTTGTCCATTTTGGGGTTACGTATATACCTTGAAAAACAGCAAAAAATGTGAAAATCTCTTCTCTCCATTCTCGCCCTATCGTGAAATCAACGTACAGAGGAAGTTTCTGTAATATAAGCACTGTTTGTTAGGAGATTGTACTATGAAAAGTCCTCAGGATATAATTTTAGAGAAACTTTGAACTCTAAATTCTTAGCATGAACACGAGCTGCCATTGTGGTCCCAATAATTCGCATAAAAATGATATGCGCAACGCATAGCGGAAGTTTTGCTCCATACACATAGTGAGAATAGGCCTGGAACTTCTAACAGAAAAACAAAAAGATTTTTTTGAGCATCAGCGGCGAAAAGTACCAAAATCACCTCAGAAAGAGCGAAATATGTGGGTACTAATGAGCTTTTCTTCAAAAAATTTGTAGAAAAGCTGAGTGTAATCCGGAGTAGAACTCAGAGGTGACTTTTGCAAACGCAAAAAAAACGAAGTCCCTCTCGACTT